ATCTCCTGGGAGGTGCATGAACCCACAAGAGCAGACAACAGCAAAGCAAAAGACGTAGTACACCCTCGGTTACTCAGCCCGAGGGTCCTTTCGTCCAGGTTCAAAGGAACCTATAGTGCAGGTCGATGTTGTCGATTTGTGGTATACCAGTGTTGCCAGCTTAGGAGGGAAATGGGGCGAACTAATGACGAGAACTCACAGAAGCGCCATTATCAGAATCACCGAGATATGGTTGAGGGAGGGCCAGGCGGTCACTGCTTCCCACAATCATATCCGGTATAGGAAGGACGGAATAGATGGTAGGCTCGGTGGCGGGATAATACTACTGGTAAGCGCAGAATACTACCAATGGGAAGCTCCGCTTACCTTAGCCACACCGAACATACAGGCCGCGTCCTGTTATGTCCGACTGGGGGATAGACCGGTGGGAGTGCTCTGTGCTTACAGGGCGCCTCAATCTAATACGGCAGAGGATTCTGCCTTAACGGCACTCTTAGGTAACGGAGTGAGGGAATCATCGCGATTTCTCATAATGGATGACTTGAATTTGCCATAAATAGACTGGGATAACGAAAGCGCGCCAAAGGGTACCGCTGGTAATGAACGGTTGGACTGGGTGCACCAACATGGACTAACGCAACACGTCAAAATAACCTCACGATTCAGAGGTGGCCATCGTCTGTCAACGTTAGACTTAATTATGACTAGGTACAGAATAGAAGTCACTTCACTTATGACGGAACAACCGTTAGGAAAGAGTGACCATGGGGTACTGCGACTAACGTTTGCTTCGAAACACGAGAGACCGAATGCTAAGCTAGTAAGAAACTACGCCAGGAACAACGGGGAATAACTTTCACAAACATCATGACCATTTTCCCAGATTTTGTTGTGTGTTATATGAGGCCATTGTTATTGTACCTGGCCTGCCATGATCGTGCACCACATGCATGTCTCGCGTTGTAATCCGAGAAATATACCATTATCATCATTATCATCAATGCAGAGAAGAGCAGCATGATGCAAGATGTGATGCAACACGATTGGTGAAAACTAAGGTAACCAATGATCTTCTTTTGTGCACATATATATTCACTTTCATTTCCTTCACTAAACGACTTGGTGATACGCCTGTCTTGTGGTCTTTTTCCTCGCGTCTCGATCCTGCGGGTTATTGCGAGTTCGAGCCATTGATGGTCTAGTGCCACCGGATTTCTAAGCCGTGTTCCGTGATTTCTGTTGCGTAGTTTGTGTCCTGAATTCTGTGCGTGATTTCACTACTACTACTTCTACGATCACCACAAGTTTGCTTCATGTTTGCCTCGCAGACCCAGAATCAAACCTCCTTGGTGGTCGCCTAGAATAGAAAGGCACTCACATCTCGTAGAAGGTGCTGGGCTTTCGGCAAGCTTCACGGAATGCATAGTTCTTGGGTCAACTACAAGCCGGCTAGAAATAGGGCACAGAAAGTGCAGCAGGAAGCTAAGTACAAGTACGAAAAGAACCTAGCTGGAGACATCAAAACAAACCCGAAGAGGTGTTTTGCCTATGTACAGTCCAAGGGAACGACATGTGGGAGTGTTGGAACCTTGGAGATGGCGAACGGTAACATAGCGAGTACAGATAAGGACCGGGCTGAGATGCTGATGGACTACTTCAAAAGTGTCTATCGTTAATTTCTGGTTGATGGGGCCCGGAACCTTCTGGTGGATACCATTGGAAACGAACTGCGAATGTTAATCGTGAATGAGAAGGTTCGATCCGAGCTCAAAATCCTGTGGAAGCATAGGGTGGCGGGCCCGAACGGGATAACGGTAGAACAGTGCACTAACATAAGCTCACCTACTGCAGCAGAATGTGTTGTTGTTGTGTTGGTTTCCACATGGAAAAGTTTGTTCCACTGATCATCCTCTGAAGCTCGACCAGTGTGCTGAGTAGAAATGGGTTGAAAAGTGGTCACTGCTGCCTAGTCAGCATGTGCCACGAAGAGGAGTTAGATGAGAGTTAGAGATGAAACAACAGACCAAACAGGTTGAGAGCTGTGGGTTACAAGGCATCACTGACCTCCGGAGTAGTGCCAGTGGACTGACGAAAGGCAACCGTGATAGCAGTATACAAGACGGGGTCTTGACAGAGGGCGAAAAACTACAGGCCGGTCAGTTTAAGGTCAGTGTTGAGCAAGTGCCTTGAACGAATAGTCAGAAAACAAATATGTGCGCACCTGGTGACTCATGAACTATCTCCTGCACAGCACGGGTTAACCAGAACTGAATCGTGCTTTACTAATCTAATTATTTTACTCTACGAGACTACAAGTCGATTAGATCAGGGTAGGTCAGTGGAGGTATGTTACTTAGACTTCAGCAAGGCTTTTGACTCGGTGAGTCTTACGTTGCTGGACGCGAAGCTACCAACTTTTGGAATAGTCGGGTCAACGCGTCATTGGTTGAAGCATTTTCTCAACAACCGTAGCTTCGCTGTACGGGTTGGTAGCTACACTTCGCGATCAGAGAGGGTTACAAGCGGGGCGCCCCAAGGCTCTGTTCTTGGATCTCTCCTTTTCTTTCTATTCATCAACGATCTCACGCCAGAATTGCACAACCCTGATTCATCTTTGCAGATGATGTGAAGATAGCGGGTGAGAACTTAACCCGGGACCTAGAAGCAGTTCGCAGCTGGTCGGCTCGATGGGATTTACCCCTGAATCTTGCCAAGTGTCAGCTACTGACGAACAATGTACACTCAACCGGGGACGCAGCGCTGTATTGATCGATCTGTGAAAATCCTTCCTGTAAAGACCAGTCGTACCATTTGACTTTGTTTGTTTATCTGCTTCAATTTTTGTCCTACTTGTTNGATTCGAACTGTGGTGCAGTATTCGAAAAGGTGGTGTGCAAAACCAATCGGCTCTATGTCTCACTGCTGGCGGCCGTTATCTGTATTTGCTGCTAAAATCCATGGCCTTTCCCGAGGTTCCCGCCAAACTACCATACGAATCCTTGAAATCGCTCCTGCTCAACCACGTGCTGCCTACTAAATTCCAAGCCCACGAACGTGCTAAATTCATTTCCATGATCCGTGCTGACTACATGTCTTGCCGTGATTTCATCCTGCAGGTAAACCGACGGGCATCAAGCTGCAACTACGGCGATCTTTTGGAAGAACAGATGTGTGATCGTTTGGTAGCGGGCATGCAAAATCTCACTCTGCAACGCAAGTTACTGGAGAAAAAGGATTTAACTTTTGCTGAAGCCCGGAAAATTTGTGAACAGCATGATGACTTGATGGAGGCTACTGCCAGCGAAGCTGTCACATTATTCCAACGGCAGAAGACTCCACCGAATCGACCTTCAACGGCCAAACGTGCACCAAAGCCGCAAAAAGATTCCCCACATAATGAAAAAAAATCAATCCATGTTTGTCTCGTGGAGCTCACCACCTACGCTTCAATTGCCGCTTTCGTAATGCCAAATGTCATTGTTGCGGAAAGATTGGCCACATTCGGAGAGTATGTAAACAAACTCGTTGCAATCCTACACAGCCAAATGCTTCAAATGACACACACCATGTGCTCTCTCTACGTTCTGAAGGCCCAGCCACCCAATGTCTGTACCGAGATGTGACATTACAGTCTGGTACAACTCACAAATTCATTGTTGACACGGGAAGTACGGAATCTGTTATTTCTAATGCTGTGGTTTAGTCCATATGCCCCCAAGCAAAAATCCAACCGACATCCATGCGAATTCTTGGTGTAACTGGACACCCATTATCATTGATTGGCGAGGTTTCATTGATGGTTCACTCAACAGGAAATCGCCTTGTCCCAATCCGCTTACTTATTGCGAAAATGAGTTCTTCCATACTTGGCCTAACTGCAGTTCGCGCTCTGAACAATTCTATGTCGCTCTATACGAATTCCCTTCCCAATGTGCACATCCGTCTACAGCGACTGTCTGTGCAATGTTTAAATAACACAGGAAGCCTGAAGGTTCGATTGGCCAAACTGGAAGTTGAGGGAGAACCTGTCTTTTTGAAATGCCGTGTCATCCCCTATGGACAGCGTGAAGGTGTATTGAAATCTCTTGAGAAAATGGAGCATGAAGGCATCCTCACCCGAGTTACATCCAGCGCGTGGGCAACACCACTTTTGATCACAATTAAAAGAGATGTTAAGACACCAAGAATTTGTGGTGACTACAGACTAACACTCAACCCCCGACTGCGATAAT